ATCCTCACTGGATTCTACCCATTTTGGGAGTACGATATAGAGACAGACTGATATCCTACACACAAGTGTGTGTATATCTATAATTGTATATCTGAGCTCTTTTATCCCCTCTCCCATTGTCACATCAGTTCTCAAAGGACCATAATGAGACTGAATATTAAAGCAGGGTTATTTTACTGGAGGGAGCTGCTGCTCACTCTAATGACAATTGAACACTTGCCTCAAGCCCGTACTGCTCTTTTTTAAATTTATTTTCTGTAATGGTTGAAAAGTTATGGAGCTGGCTTGAAGCTCAGGCACCATGTGTGGGTACCAAAGACAGATAAAGTACAAAGCAGCAGTTTGTTGAGCTATCATGTGATCTGTGGGCCAAGGTTGGTCTTTATCTCCGCTGCAGGGTACGTACTGCAACATATTCCAACAAACTGGTAATATATTTATTTTTTGATAAGTAGATGCGTGTGTTAAATGTCTCATGTTAGTCTTGTGTTCTCCAGGGACTTGAAATCAGAAAAAGGTCTTAGACAAATTAGTACCCAGGAGAAACAGCAACAGAAGTTGGAAGGGAATTTATGGGTAAATTTTCTTCTTAGATGTCTTTTACAGTATTATTTACTATCCTTTGGATTTCTGATCAGAAAAGTAATTGGTTATCTGCTACATAGCACTACATGAAAAAATACTTTGAGCAGCTCAAGACCTGAGTACCAAGATTTTTCACAACAGTGAGAGAACCTCAACAGATTGCATCTATTTGTGCACTAGCAACTACAGAAACGAAACTATAAAATGATGTTCAAAGACTTGGGATGCATTTATGTATTCACTTATTATTAACCTGCCTCATATGTCCCTGCTTGAGTGTTGGTTTCCAAGAGCCAACATCCATTATCAGGGTTACAATATGAAAAACAAAAGTGGAAGAACAGTATTTTGAGAAGTCTCAGTCTTGGAAAAAGACTACTTCTTCTTTCACATGGTGCAAACACAGGAGATAAAGATGCTGTTATGTGTCTGATGGGTATGGTCTAGGACAAAAGAGAGTAAGTGTGTACAAATTGCAATCTGTGTGTGCGCTGTTGCTGTGTGCATAACTGGGAACCCATACTCACTGCTGTATGTTTAATTAAGGGGCATGCTGGTGTTGGGATGAGCGTGCATGTCTTCTGAGTGCTTACAAATGAATATGCTCATTTAGCAGACATCATCATTTACTGTGCTGTGTTGTGTCTCAAATGCACAAATCTAATAAGGCGTTGTTGGTGTAAAGGCTTTACTTTATGTTTTACAGTACAGGTAACTTTTATCGCCATTCCATTTGTCCATAAGTTACCATCAAGCTCACAGCTAAAATATGACTTTGGTTTGATGTTTGAGAGACATTTGCCACACTGAAACAGTTCCTTTTGTGATTTTGTCCTGTTTACTGAGCAGTTGTTTTTGTGCTGACTAACAGCTCCTACTGGATCCTAAAGAGGATTTCATACATGTAGGAGATGCAGTAGGGTGAGTAAGTGGAGTTTGACCTCACATTTCCTCACGCTGTTATGATGTTTTAGCTATTCAGTACTGCTTGGGCTTCACTAAGAAATCAGAAAAGGGTTTTCTCAGAGTTTGGGCAGAGCCCCCGAGCCCTGGTGTGGGACTGTCTGATCCATGTGTGTGTGTGTGTGTACATGGGGGGTGCAGGGCTGAGCTCAGGACACGGTAGTGCCCTGTGTCACTGGGGTACGCCAAAGGAAGTTCTTCCTCTGCTTTCCTCTCTCCAAAACAGGGATCATTTTCCCAGGGAGTTTGGAATTGTTTCTTGAGCCCAGGGGTAAAGTGTACAATGCACTGTGTTTCTGGTACACAGCACAGGAAAACTTGTATATTCTGGCTTTTGGCGAAGGTAATTCTCTTGTGCAATCACAGCAGCAAACTGAGCACACAGACAATATTTGAGAGCAAAATGCAGTAGACTTAAACAAATGAGAGGATTTTGACTGTAAATAATTCATTCGTTGCTATTCTTTCCTGAAAGATTAGCTCCCAATTTGGAGGAAATCTCCATCTATCCAAGCCCCCTCCTCTCTCTGCTTTTGAGAAAATGGGAAAAACAATCATTTAAACTGTGGAGTGGTAATATCTTTGTCAGAAGAATTGCTATGTTCTGAAGATCAGAATGATCTGGGTGTGATTACCTCTGTGAAGATTTACATTTTCAGCATTAGGCAGAAGGTGTTAAATAAATGTTGACTCAGGCTTCTGCATTTTCTGTCTAATTTCCCACATCTTAATTCTTTACTTTGGGCAACTGCTTCTGAAACTTGGAACTAAATCTTCATTTTAATGTTCTTTTTTTTGCACTTCTTTCACTGCTTCATTCACATCTTTCTGCTTTAATGCTACAATAGTGTGTGGGAGGATTAGTTACACTGATTAAAAAAAATAAAAAATAGAGCAAGAATGAATTAATCTACAAGCCAGACACCTTCATTAAGCAAAGTAGGGAGAATAATATATATAATTAGCAAGACTTCTGCTTACTGTATGCTCTAATGTAATATATTAGCCATCTCATTATTTTAAAATATTAATTGCCTTGAAATTGTTAGCTACTGTTGGTAATAGCCAATTAGGGCTACTCTTAAAAGGCAGCTATTTACTGCTAATAATTAAATTTTAGAAAATCGGAGTCCTTAGCCACATTTGCTTTCATACTTCTTTTTATTTATTCCTTTTCAGAATCCATAATTCATGTCCCCCTATAAAACAGAAGGACAAAGAGAGACAAACCCATGTTCCATAAAAGGTATTACATCGGTAAAAAATAAGAGCAAAAGATCTTTTTTTCTCCTCCTTTTTGATAATATGAGTGCACAAATACTCAGTAAAACATGTGGTGGAGTGGAAGCCCATCTGTTTACTGCTCTCTGCAGTGCTCTTTGCATTGTGCCTATACTCCTAAGAAACATGATTGATACCAGCACAGCCTCTGGCTTATTCCTGGAAGTATTTTTTTAATTTATTGTTAATGTTCTCAGAACAGTGAATTGCAGAGATCACATTCCTGTTTGCTAAGCTCCTGTTCTGCAAGATCTGTCCTCCTGTTTCGCTTTAATTTAAAATTTTGCATCCATTTTCTTCCATGTTATTATAAATGAACATATAGTTCATAGCATGGGGGGAGGAAGAGGGGTGGGGAAGGGATAGAAAAAGATAATTTTTTTCTTTGACATTTACTTTTCAATATAAAAAGGGATATACAGAAATGCCCAACTGTGACTGAAAGCTCTTGCAGCTATGAAGACTGTAGATCATGTGTTCTTTTTCCCTGTCATAGCTGGACGTTTACAGAACCTACAGAGAGGACAGAGGCAAATATTCCTGGAATAACAGAAATATGAGTTGTTCTGTCATTTTGCCCTTGCTGGTGTGCTTGTCCTGAGCAGCAGGATGTGACATCTCCCTGAAACAAGGACATGATGGATATAGGAACTTCAGCACTTCCCCAGTTCTCCATGTCAGTGTGATGCTCATTTAGTATCTCCTATCTATAACTTCATCGTGTTGAGATTCCCAGGGAAACGTAGGGAACTGGGGGCTGCTAATGAGCTTCCAACTCTCCTTAGGCCTTTCACAGCACCCTAGATGGCAGTCCCTCACACAGGTAGCTGTAGCTCTCAGGGTCCCCATGGCCATGCCTACAGATCCCCAGTGAGCAAATCAGATTCAGCAGAAACCCATAAGCAGCTGGTACTTCAGCGGCCCAGTCTTGTCTTGGTTGAAATGAGCACAATCTGTTAAATAATCAGAGATGCTTCCACTTACATTTAGGCTGTGATCCACTGACTGTTATCTGATTGTGTTGACTAAAAATGAAAAGGAAATGAAAACTATTCATACCATGGTCGATTTTGATGGAATGTAACCCGTGCTTTACAAATCTATCGGAGGTCTTTGAAGAGGTTGACAAGGAAGTGAATAAGGGTGAGAAAGTTACTGTACTTGTATTTCTGAAAGACTTTTGATAAAGTCCAGTGCCAAAGACCTTTAAGGGAAACCAAGAAAATACGCAATGGATCTCATTGCTGGGGTTCTGCAGAATCTGTGCTCAGGTCTGTCCTGGTAAACCTACCATAAACTCCTGGGACAAGTAGATGAACAGAGGTGAGAAAGTTTGAGGATAATAGGAAGTTGGTTATTCAGGGTAGTAAACATGAAGATCACCCATGAGGAAGCACAGAAGTACCTCAGGAGACTGTGTAGGCAAATAAAATTTAATATGCATAGATCTAAACTGATGTGTGTGGGAAAAACGAATCCTAAATTCACATACAAAATTACAGGCTCTGAGCTGACCATTATGACTCAGGATCACAATCTTGGGATTATAATAGTTTGTTCCATGAAAACATTGTCTCAGTGCTGAGAGGCAGCCAAAACATTAACCAAATGCTAAGTGAGAAAAAAAACTAGAAAGCAACTCTGTGAATCAGTGTTCACCCACGTGTTGAAGAGTGTACTTTCATCTTAAATAGAATATTGTACAACTGGGAGATGTTCACAGGAGTCCAAAATGGGTGGAAGTACTTCCACAGCAGGAACAGTCTGCATACACTCGGGCTGCTCAGTTTAAAAGGCAGTTGATAGTCCTATAAATTGATGAGCAGAATGGGCAAAGTTGGATTTTTGCCGTCTCTCCCAATGCAAAAGCTCAGAACCATCGAATGGAGTTCACAGGAGCCAAGCTCAAAAGAAACCAAATGAAGTTTGGTTTCCTTGTGCAGAAGACACTAGATGTGTAGCTTTTTCCAAAGGACATGGGGCTGCTCTAAGCCTGCATGGGTTCAAGGAGAGACTGCACAACTCTATGGATGAGAAATTTAGTAACAATTATTAAATTGCAGAAACTGCAACCACTCAGAAAATAGGTGCAGTTAAAAATAGTTGTTCTGTGGGACGACCTGTGGGGACTGCCATACATACATGTCTTCTTTCTGCTTTTCCCTGCTCAGCTCTTAGAAACCCTGCTGGAGACAAATCCTGGGCTCGGTGCACATTTGGTGTGATCAGCTGTGGCTCTCAGTATTCTAACACTCATCATGTGCCTCACTGGTGTCAGGAGAGATTTGGGCTGTGTACTAATGGCTGTGGAGGTGAGACACTTTTCTTTCTTTCCCATTCTTTTATGCAGTGATATGTATCTGTTGTTTAGCCACCAGATGATCGCCTGGTTCTTAACTGACCAAACCTGCCTTGCCAGAAAAAGCACAATTTTAAACTATGCTCTAAAAAATGAGAAATCTCTGCTGTGTTGGGCAAAGCTGCAGAAAGCAACTGTAATGGTTGACAGATCTGTGAGACCCAGAGTCTTACATATCCCAGAACAAATCAAAAAATCATTTGTATTGACCATGAGGAAAAGCTATCAGAAATTGTGATAGTATTTCCTTCATTGTGAATTTATTTTTTGTAGCTCCTAGATAGACAGAAGAAGAAGTCTAGCTTCTGCAAAAATGAAGTTACAAAATAAGTTACACAAAGCTGTAGGAAGATCAGCTCTGATTGCTCACCAGTGACTTCCTAATTTATAGCAATATTCTGCTACAGCAGAATGAAAATTGACTTTTTAAAGTACAAATCCCAAGGAAGGACAGCGTGTAAACTGTACTACTGGTGCAGGAACTGTGCTGGCAGTGATGGAAGCAGCGTTGCTATTGTGGTTCAGAGGAAGCAGCACAGACGTGGCTGTGCAGCTGAGCATTGGCAGCAAATTAAAACTCATTATCACTAGTTCAGCTGCTTGGACACAAAAGCTCTCTTGCCCTGTGAGTGGCTGAGTCCTTCCTGATTGCTCCAGAGAGGAAATACAAGAACAGACACCTTCTTGTACTCTCAAGTTTCTGATGATCTGGATGGTGGAGGATAAGACTATACTGCCCAAGCTTGGGTTCTCCTACACTCATAATATTTTGGACTGTGTTTTATCATTGTCCCAGTAAAAGAGGATTATTTTATGACATCTAATGTGGGATTGGTAAACATCAAGCAAAACAATTTTTAAATTTTCTAGCAGAAGGACTTCAAATTATATGCACAAATGTGATGACTACATCCATGTGCATTAAATAATTTTATATCAGCCTAGAAAGGTTTCACTATAATGTACTGATTTGACATATACAAAAAAAAGATCTAGAGGTTTTCACATCAGTAGATTCAAAAATTATTTTCTGATATTAAATATACTGCATTCATTTTAAAACTAATTTCAGTATTACCTAATATAGATTTTCTTATATTTTCTATGCTGAAGGGTATTATGAAATTTGAGGTCAAATTATGGTTTAGAATGAAAGGAAATTTCAAAACATTGCAATTTTTCCCTAGAAAAGAAATGCAGGAATTTCATCAGCTGTATTTGAGCTGTTATAGAGCAGATGGATTTATACTTTTTCATGGTTTCTCTGTACAATCTCTTGTCTTATACGTGGCACTTATATACATACACAAATACATATACATGGTTGTCCTTTTTTTGTGTGTGTGTGGAAGAAGACTTCTTTTTATTCTGTATCTTTTACTTTTTTAGTACCATCAGTATTATAGTCAATGAAAACTACTTCACTTCACCCAAAGAAAGAGGAAATGCATTTTGTATGTGTGTCATGGAGGAATTGCTTTTTAATTAATCCCTTTAGCTTCAAAATTATTCAGACAGAGTTAAACTGAGCAGAATTAAATCTCTTCATATCTTATTTTCCTGCATATGCATTTTTTTTTTCATTATATGTTTTAAGGGTATGAAAAATAAGGATTTGTGGGTTTTTTAATTGATATTTTAGAATCCCAAATGTGAATTGTTTGATGTGAAATAACATGAAAAATATAGCTATTATGTTCCATTTCATTGTTAAATAACTTTAGAAGATTTGGGTTTGACCAGGTATACAGAATTTGTATAGTTCCTGTTAATTAATATTTGTTAATTTCTGCATTTTTAGTGGTTTAAAAGCTCAACTTCAGAAATTTTAGTTATGTTATAAATGTTAAGGGCCATGGATAGAGACATGGAAAGGTTTATGGTAAGAGGTGCTCATTTTCATGTGGTGAGTTGAGAAATGTTCTGAAAAAAAATTGACACTGGAATCATAAAAAACCACAATCACCAGATAGAATGAATTGATTGTAATTTCTAAGTGTGATTCTTTACATCTTGAACACAGAAATGAAAATGTCTCAAAAACTTACCCAACTGAAGGAAAAAAAAACAAAAAAAAATAATTAAATTATACAAAATAAATCACAGTGATTTGACTTATGGCACTCCAGTTGGAAACTGCCTGTCCTAAGGGAAGACATATCTGCCATGATACAAAATACATTATTAGAGGGGGTGTGCTTTAAGAAAAGACAGAGGGAACTTCCATTCAGTTCTGATTGTCATTGATGTGTTAGGAAAATTACAGATTACTGAGATATTTCATTAAAAAGAATTCTACCACTTGAAACATTATGATTTCTTGGCTAGCATAGGATTGCTTGCCTAGCTTTTAAGATCAGAAGAGATGACTGTAATCATCAGGTCTGACTCTATGAATAAAATGGGTCCCAGTGATTCACAAAATTATCCAAGCCACAAGTGGAGTGTAGCTTTTGGAAAAGTGCCCAGTCTTGAAAAGTGTATCAAAACACCAACAAAATAAAATGTCTGGACAATATTTGACACTTATATTCGAAGTGTCAAGGGGAGGCTAAAACGTTTTTTAAAAGGCCCAGTCTATTGTTTTGGGGATTTGTTTGTTTGTTTGTTTTATTTTAATGGTGGTGTCAGTTGGCTGTACTTGATGCCAGTAAAGTGTTATCATAAAAGAAAAGTGCAGGGAACATTCCAACCACCTTCCCAAAGATTCCTTAGCCCACCATAAAGTATTACCTTGGCCCTGACTTTTACCCCTTCTCTGAAATGTGCTCAGTTCCTTTTCTTAAGTGCTGGGACCCACTGGAGAATTAACCTCAGACACCACATCCCAAGCTTGAAATCAGTTGTAGGGAAAGCTGGGACTCCTGAAGAGTTCACTTCTGTGTTTAATTCAGAAGTCAAGGATGGATTTGAGTAACTTAATAAATATGTTGTTAAGGAAACCAAAATAGCACAGACCTCTTATGAAACACTTAAACAAAGGTTTACAAACTTTCTCCATAGAGATGGGACTGAGGCAGGCACTAAAATCTTGTAGGAGTTTTTTTATGCTCAAGGAATAAAACTGAAAAAAAAAAATAATTACAAATTCCTTCCACCCATGCCCAAATTTCCATGTGAAATAATTACAGTTCCTTCTTCCTTATAGTGGTATTTATCTTGTCTGTTTTATGATTTCTTCCCCTCCAAAGTTGGATATTATTCTCCATTACAAAAATAAATCCTGTAGCTGTTGTTATACTACCTCACAGGACAAATATTCATGCAAATAAAGGACAACCATCTTAAATTTCTTTGCTGTATGCTGTACTTTGTACTTTTGAGCAACAGGTAAGAGTTTGATCCTGTAATGGTCTGTCTCCTGCTTTCCAGGCTTCTAAATTTTAGTATGACATTTAGGCTTTCTTTCTGTCTTTCTTTCCCTGCCCTGCTGGGAAACAGGGATATCAGTATTCTAACAAAGTACTTTAAGAAAGGCAGATTTCAAACTAAAAACACCCACATTACCCAAACTACCTGTGTCCAATGAAACCAGTCATGTGTTTCAAAATTAGGACAGTGGAAGCCACAAAACATTTCAGTTCCCGTTCAGCTCCAGCCCACAAACACTTAATTCAAGTCCTTGAGTGAATACAAATTGCTTTCTTTGACTTTTACACATTGGAAAACCTGTTCTTAAAAACTGAAATGAATAACATTTCCAACTACATTCACTGATAAGAATCACTGATACTGTTTGTATATCCTCCTAGTAGATAGAAATACCTTTTCAGGAATCTGCCTGCCTATAACCTTCCTGAAGAACTGAAGCAGTGCTGTTTGCTGTCTGATATGGTGCACATGTGGTCCTAGACATGACCTTGTTACACTAACCTTTGTCATTTTTAGGAATAGTTACAGTCAAGTTGCGAGAGCTGTATGTAGGGAGTGGTCATATTTGTGAGTCAGACTTGGGGAATCAAGTGCTGCATTTTTGCAGCAGGCTTCTAGATTTGGTTGGGAAGGAATGGTACAACTTGTTGTGTATATTGTCCACCCAAATGTCACTGTGTAGCTAAAGCTGAATATTTAAGTGGGTTATATGTATTGTCACTTCACCCTGTGCCAACTGTTGCTACAGTGAGAGGCTGGAAGGCCTTTAATGGGAACTGAGATGTACCTCTGCACAGACTGCATCCAAAGAGAGGATGTATTACCTATTTCCAGAGGCATAACCTCTTCTCCTGACACTTAAGATTGGTTAAGTCTATGTCCAAAGTCCACTGTTTATTACCTAAAATGATATTCTACATGGCTTTGAAGCCTGTTACAAGGATTAAAATGACAAATTATCTTCTTGGCATCTAGTGGGTTATTACACTGTTTTTATCTGTGAACAAAGCAAACAGGTTTCAAGTTAGCATCAAAGACGCATGATTTTGAGATACCAAACAGTTTGCTCATGGTCCTGCTGATGCAATGGATCACATTTACCCTGTGGAAATATTAATATAGATATCATGTGACATCTTCTCTGTGACTCTTTGACCACTACTAAAGCACAGTACTTTGTTGTGTCATCCCACACCCATTTGTCAACCATACATAATTGATTAGGCTACTGTAACATTTTTATTCTGCACATGAAGTTCTCTCCTCAGCAATCTCTCCCTTCCAAAATCTACATTCATCATTAATTACAAAATCAATGGGAGAGATGTTCTGGACATATACAATTGATAGCTTCCCCCTTCAGATTAGCATAACCTCCCAATTCATTACGTGGAGTGAATAATACAGTTGCTGCCACCATGAAAAGGGGCAGGTCACCTGCTGTAAATTTCTTAACAAAATGTGCTGTCATGTGCCTTTTCACTTGCTGAGTGTTTACTGTGTGTTTGGAGGAGTCCATCTTCCTTCTGAGCCCAGATTTGTCTCTTCTCTTTTGGCAAAGCAACAATCATGATTTTAAAC